GATTTGAAAATACTTTTATAAAATTTGATATTTCCTTTTTTCCATGTATACACAGAAAATTGAAAGGTATTAAAATAAGCTGCAACGCTTCTTATTTTAATCCATTTTTACTTATTTTAATACCAAAATGGATTAAAATAAGAAACATTTGATTAAAATAAGAAGTGTTGCAGCTTATTTTAATACCTTTTAGTTTTCTGTGTATTGATATTAAGCAATTTTTGTAACTGTTAACACAAAAAAGAGATATTGATTGAAAACAAATTGTTTCAACTTTTGCACTAAGATTGTATTAAATATATAATTCAGTGAAATCTATAATTATATATATGATTAGGATTTATTTCTCAATATTAGATATATATATAGGGATAAAATAGATTTCGAGCTAAAACTATGTTTTACAACAAAGAAAACATCTCGGAAATCCGATAGACATAATTACTGATGAAAACATCTACGCACACGTAACGTTCGTTATCCAAGTTCAGTAATTAGTTATACTCTCTTCCTACGGAGGCAGTTATAAGCCCTCATTCTTGTATATATATATATACGTGTTATAGGATGCATATACGTATATGTATAGATATACCTATATAAGGACGGAATATAGTTAGAAGCATAGCAACCTGTAGCGGTGGCATCGTGAAAAGAGAGAGAGAGAGGATAGGAGTGGAGCCACCCCTTCTCGTATAGCCAGGGAGCCCGAACGTTGGGAAAAAAAGAGAGAAAAAGACGAAGTAGAAGAAGAAAAAAAGAGTGAAGCGTCGCTCTCGTAATTAAGGACCAAGAGACATCGATCGGTTCCTATATACGCGTTGGGTGGACTTTGAAGGGTGGTGGGAGAGAGTAGGTGACCCGAACCTACCCTAAATCGAAGAAGCATGAGACACACCCTGAAAGAAAATGGAAGGGATTTTGATGTGGGTGGCTGCGAATGCTCGGGGATGAGACAGGTACCCTACTCCCGATATCTTATTTCGTTTCCCCCTCACCTCCTCCTAACCCCCCCGGGCCGACGCGGCGGCGACTCTTCGGCATCGCGTCGCGTATACCAATCCCCCTCGTCACACCAATGAGCGGCGGGAGGAGGAGGAGGGGGCTGATGGTGAGGTTGGGTGGCATAGACGAGGTGCAGGGCAGGTGTGCGAGTCACAATGGAAGACGCTGCCGCGCGAGTGAGATGAAATAACTCTAGCGAAAGAGAGAAAGAGTGAGGCGGCGGCAACGCCCATTTTTTGATAAGCTAGTTACCCACCCATCCTGCCTCCAGTTGGGGTGGCAGCAACCCAGCTGGAGTATGGGTTTTCTACGGAGATCAATAACTGCATAAAAATAAAGTGAGCCTCTGGCCCGCTACCTTTAACCCACCTCTCGCCATGGCACCCTTACCCTACCAAACCACCTCTCCTCCTCTTCATCCTCATCTCCTTTACCCCTCTTCCAGGACTGCTCCTGCGTTAACGTCTTCGTTCTCTTTTTTTCTTTCTCTTTCTTTCTCTCTCATCCCCCTTCCTCTCTCTCTCTCTCTCCCAGCTATCCCTTTTTATCTTTCTCTTTATATCCTCCTTCCCTATCTTCTTTTCTTCTCTATATACGCTTTCATCCTCCACACCCTCCAATGAGATCCAGAGGTTATTGCCTGTATTTTCTTAAGGGATGAATTCCCCGCGGCAAGAGAGAGAAGGAAGGACGGCCAGTGAGGTTACGTGTCCTTATAGAAAGAAAAACGGGGGTGGGAATGGAAAGAGAGGGAGTGATGAGGGAGATGAAACACGTAAAAGGGCATCGAGATCTGTTCAGCGCGCGGTGATGCTGCTGATGATGCGAGAGAGAGAGAGAGAGAGAAAGAGAAAGATAGCTAGGGTGGCCTCTTAAAATGTATATGACCGCGTCCTTGTATTAGATTCTCCACGTTATATTCGAACGTTATGCAGAATCTCAAGCTCTCTGAACTTTTATACAGGGGGAATATGGAAGTTTTCTTCTATGCCAAAGTATATAGAAATAATAACCTGTGGAACTTGTCGCGCAAAAGGAGATACATTTATATAAGGGAATTATCAATTAATATGTGGAAATTTAACTGTGTGAATTGTACCTTATTAAGGAAGGTTAACTATTAATTTAATCTATATAATTGGCATAAATTTGAATTATGCATGACAATAATTTTGACAGTGTTGCATGAGGTGTGTAGTAGTAGCATCTTCTCACTATGTTTTTCTAACATTATAAGAATAGACTCCCTTGTCGTTGAAATTAGTTTAATGCTGTTCGCACTTGATAATGGTTGTAAAATAAGGGAAGCAAACTCGATAATAGGTCTAACTAGTGAGAAAAAAAGAATTTTTATCTCCATATGTGAAATGAATAAAATGAAATTTTTGTATCCTTTTCTTGTCGAACTATTGGCTGCCAATACTGGACCACGATTAATAAAATTTTGGGATGATATTGCCATTAATAGGTATCCAATATTGGTTTGTCATTGGCTGCCAAGACAAATAACGGATTTTCAAATGCTTGGTTCTTAATTGGCTATACGTAGATTGGACCATCGCATTGAAAACCAATGATCGGCTTCCAATAATGGCCCAATCTTTGTAGCCAATTAATAACCGAGCTTTTGAGAATCTGTTTTTTATCTTGGCAGCCAATCATGAACCAATATTGGCTCCAAATTATTGTTAACATCGTGATCATTCCAAAACCAATCGCTGTCATATTATTGGGCCTACAGAAATCCTTAGGACGTACGTATACGCTCAGATTATTCCTGAATATCCTGATGCTGTTAGGATATGTTTAAAAATTCGAAAACGGTTTATTAGTCAATTGTTTTAATTTTTATTATAATTTTGCCGACGTTTCGAGATGGCACCGGTTCATCTTCAGGACAAAGTTTGTTGTTTTAAATAAAAATAATTTTTGTTTATTTATCAAAAAATATTTTTCTTAACAGATTGGTTCCTGAAAAAGCCAAACAAAAATTTAAAACAACAAAATATGCCTCGAAGATGAATTCGGTGCCAGCTCGAAACGTCGAATTAGAGAAATAGTCACGTGACGCAAAGATAGCGCTCCTAGTGTTCACTATCGGAAATACCAAACGCTGCGTACATCGTCAATGCTCTGTTGAATGTATTTTTTTAAATGTTAAATGCATTCATCTAAATTAAAGAAGTTATTAAAGTGTTGAAATTATTAAAATCATTCTATTTGCTCGCATCCAGCGAAAATATATATTTGTCTCAGAGCCAAATAAATATTTGATTCAAATAAATTTGATTTGAGTTAAATAAAAATTTTATTTGTGCTAAATAAATTTTGTTATTTAAAACAAATAAAAAGTTATTATGCTCTGAGACAAATCTATTTAAGCTCGCGCAGATATATTTAAATTGAAATTTCTTTGTTAATAAAATGTTTTTCTTATAATTTCAACAATGACAGATTGATTGGTAAGATTTTTATTGTTAAATATCTGCGCGTTCTGTTCATTTTTTACAAAATTGGATTTATCGACTTTTGAAAATTTGCATATATAATTAAAAACAACAATTATCAGTTAAAACTGGAATTTTTCTTTTGTATAGTCAATATATATTTTCTGTTGAAAAAATTGTTTCTGAAAAATTTTGTTTCATTATCTGTTTGCTTATATGGTGTATGCTCCTCACTGTTGTCGTGAAAAATAATTAATATTTTAATGTGCTTGACCGTGCTATGTAATTAAATTCTCCCTTTCGTAAAAGGACGGGCCACCATAGCGCTTCTGCGAATGTGCATGTGGGTCCTTCGCAGAAGTGATTTTCAGGGGTAGTTTTTGCTTGAATTTTCTCGGAACGTGTGTCGCGTTTTTAAACGCGCATGTATGGTACATATATCTATACACAATACACCCCCCATATGTGAACAAGTCCGGGGAAGCGAAAGACGACGTTTCTTTCGTACAAAAGCAATTTTCAGATTGCCAGTAATTTAGTGGTGCAAATATACTATATGTACATATATATATATATACAGTTGGTGAAGAGTGGGTGTTGAGATTCTAGGAGTTATGTGCGGAAAGGGGAGGTGAGGGTTTTCGAGAGGGTTTTGAAGCGCGCACGCATCTTTGGATTAAGGCTAAAAGGTGGAGCGAGGTCTAGGTACTGTATACGTATCCCTGGTACTATACGCATTTAGTTTGTACTGAAAAAAAGGGGGGTATATTCCTCATACCGGAAAGAGTGGGTATTACGTTCAGGTAACCGGAACAAAAACGATTTTCTCTCGAGGGTCTTGTTGAGAAAATCTTGTCAGTAGTTTATACGTATTTCAATAGGGAGGAATATGTATTTTTACGTTAAATAATAATTGTCCAAGTTTTACCATTTTTAATTTTTACTCTTGCAATATTTATCTCTTTTTTTATTGATTCTTTTTTATTTATTTCTACATTTTTACTTCTGGAATTTGAATTAATTAAAATAGTTGATTTTTTTAATAATAAAATTTATTTTAGGAATAAAATAAAATTGTATCATATATAGAAAATAATCAGTGTCATTTCGCCAAGGGTGAAAAGAGACGGAGTAATCCGCTTTCGTATACATAAATCAAGCGTAGGGGTAGGTCCTGGGGTAGGTCAGCTCCCGGCTATCCTCTGAGGGTTAAAACTTTCAGACTTAGGGGTCGGCTTCCTCGAGACACGCAAATTTAGGGTGGGTCGTCGTTCTTTCGTGTACGATACGAATATTTTTACCTTTTCACTAAATATGAAACAATTCTCACAGACAGTGTAGTTAAAAAAATTTTTCTTTTATTTATATTTATTAAATAAAATTTAATTTTTAATACGTATAAATATTTTATTTAGAAGATTGACAATTTTATAATTTATCCACTAATTGGTATTTTCATAATTTATTTCATAATTATCTTTTTTATTTGATATTTTGTCTTTGAATTATGAAAAATCCATTAAAGTTTCCTAATTTTTTTGTTTGTAGATCTGTACGTCTCTTTCCTGTGATTCCAGACAAAATTGGCGTTTTTGGTAAAGGGTGAGTTGGTTAATTTAAACATTTAATGTTCATTTTTATTATGGTAATTAATTTTTAATAGGTTATTAACTAGACAAATATACACGGAGAAAAAGAAAATGTTCACTGAAAGAAGGGTTTGGTTTTCAAAAAAAGGATTGGTATATTTAAACCAAAATTTTTTTGTTGTCTCAACAAAATTTTAATTGTTTCAATTAAACTTTGGTTGACACAACCAAAATTAGAAAAAAGGATTTTTGTTGTCTTAACTAAACTTTGGTTGGGTTCAACAAAAATTTTTTTTGACGCAACAGAAACATTTTTGTTTAAATATAATTGACAAAAAAACGTTAGGTTAACCAAATGTTTTCATATCAAAACCAAACCTTTTTTTTAGTGTTAAATCTAATAATCGGATTGTTAATATAGTAATATAATACAAAAGAAACTGAACTCATTTTTGCTGCATCTCATTATGAGATCTGCATCAAAATGAATTAACAAACAACTTTACGTTACTCAAAATAAACCTGTTTAGAAAAGCTGAAAATATTCGTTGAATGTCATTAGTGCGTCGTATTGGATTTAGTGGCTAAAAGCAAGTGTTTCATACTAGATAATGAATAATTAGGGAAAAATGTATATGAGGGAACAGGGAAACATTTCAAAGTGGTTGTATTTATAAATTATTTTTAATTAATCTCAAATTTTGTAATGGCGTCAGTAACGTTAACAATATTACTAACCTAAAAATTCTATTATTTAATTTCGTTAATTTGTGTAAATTTGAGAATTAAAGTTAAAAAATTTTTTCTTCGCGTGGTCAACAAGAAAACATTTATTTTCTCAGTCAGATGAAATTTCGACAGTGACACTTGAGAAATAATGCGCCGCATATGTAGGACGTAGTTCGAGTGATTTTTTTTCCATTCGTAGAGGTCGGGCGGTGTTGAATGCACCCCCTTTCCGTATCGTTCACTCGGTCTGTCATTTACGCAGTGTATTCAGAGGATCATAGAGTGAATACCGCGTGTAATGCGTGCACGCATGCAAACGTGATATGTCTCTCTCTGAGTTGATTTTTTTTCTCCTTTTTTTCCGCGTAGCCTCTGGCATAGATTGAGGGATATAAGAGAGAGAGAGAGAGAGAGAGAGAGAAATAGATATAGATAGAGAGAGAAGGGATGAGGTGGAAAGAGGGCAGATAGCAGAACATTGCAAACGATCAAATAAAAGCCCGCGTTTTCCCCGATATTGAACCCTAAGCTAAGCCTAACCTGCCTCAACCTACGACCGCGGCAACGTGAGTTGGCAGAGGGATGTTGGTGGGTGGAAGCCACCCCAACTGCGGTCGTTGACCCACGCACACCCCGTCCAGCACCGAACCCACCCCTCAGGGCCGACGACGACACTGGTGCCGTCTCACGGAAAAGTATTGCACTCCCATCAACCCCTTTTCAAAACTCCCTTTCTCTTCCTGCGAGACTAAGTTCCAACGTTGGCACCATCAACTCGAAAGAGTTCAAAAAAAAAGAAACAGGGAAAAAAAGAAGAGAGAGAGAGAGAGAGAGGTGTAACGAGAGCGAAAGCTTCAGATTCACGAAACCTGTTTCTGGCATCCAAAGTTGGTGTGTATAAAAAAAAAGAAAAGAGAGGTTTTTCGAATGTCAATGCCCTCGAGAGTCGGGAGGGTAGTTTGAAAAGCGAGAGACAAGAGAGGGAAGAAGAGATTGAGAGAACGAGAGACTATGGGAGAAAGAGAGAGAGAGAGTGAAAAAGAGATTTTTTCGCAGCGTTTGAGAACGCGTGAAAGTCTGAAAGTAAAAATAGGATAGAGTTGCGGTTAAACACGCTGCATTAGACGATAAACGTAGAAGGCACCCCTATGCATGGACTTTTTATTTACTAACGCGATGCCTGATTTAGTATCAAATCGGGCAGATACGTGCGTGTCCTTACTTCCGGCTTGGGGCTGCACGTTGATGTACTACCTCTGCTATCCTCGCCTATTTTTTTTCCTTCTGTTTCGTTACTATAACGTCGCGCGCGCTGCAACAATCACTTACGCTCCAATCTCAGTCCATTAACCCCGATAGAAACGATTTTTGGACTTAAGAAATTTTAAAAAAATATAATTCAATATTATCAAACTTTTGAAGTTTTAATAAAATTTAGTATATAATGATAGTTGACAGGAATTGTATAAACAAATTAGTAATTCTTTCTTAATAACTTACTTTTGTTTTTTTGGTTTTACACATGAGAAAAATGATCTATTAAAACTAATTTCCTTTTTAATTGCTCTAAATTTGAATCAGGGAAATTCACTCATGATGTAGTTGTAATGCAACTGAACTACTTCAGTAAAATTTTCACTAAAATTCTGTATTATTTAACTGAAAATTAGTAGAATTCTTTACTGATTGAAACAGTCGAATCTGTTTTACCAATTAATGATAACGTAAATTTGACTGTTTAAATTAGTAATTTAATTTAGTTTGAAAGAATCTCCTTGAAGCTGAAAATTCGTTATTAGGGTAAATATTTTATATTTTATTTAAAAATTTTTTTTTTTCAAAACAGTTTCAGAAGATTATCTTTAGATATAATTTGTTAATTTTTGATTAACAGGGTTGCCATAAGTCAGGGAAATGTCAGGGAAAATTATTTTGAAATTTTTGTGGCAACCCTAATTAATTGTATTAATGGTGTGTACATTGAATAGGGTCGTAAAACATCGTAAAACAGTTGGATTTTTTTGTCATTTTTCTAAAAATTAAAACCAAATTCCACTATAAAAAATTGAAAAGGTAATTTTTAACTATTTCATCAGTTTTCTTATTTTTAGAAATTTTACAGTTTAAAAAAATTAAATTTTTTTAAAATCAATCTTATGATTAATTGTTTAAAACTATGAAAAAAGCTTATAAAAAATTAGCATTAAAAAATAATAGATATTATGAGAGAGGTTATAATTTTGATTTTTCGAGAATGTTGATTTTTATTTAAAAAAATTATTAACTAATTAATATTAATAATAATTAATAACTTTTATTTATTTTTAATTATTTAATTTAATTTTATTAAAAATCAATAAATAATAATAAATTAATTAATTACTATTTATACTAATAAATTAATAAAACATTAATAATCTATTTTTGTTTGTTTCCAAAATGTTTTCTTTTAATAGTAAACTAAATTCTTTTAATAATTAAAGGATATAATTTAAAGAACTTTCGGTTTATTATAAAAGGAAATTCTCTTAAATAAATATTAAAAGAAAAACCCGTTTAAGATAAAAAGATTCTTTTAAAGTTAAATGGATTGTTTTCTCAGTGTACCATATATATTGTGCCTTTTAAGAAGTTATGTTAGATTAGAATTATAGAGGAAGTATTTTAATAACAATATTTTATTTTATAAAAATAATTATTTCTACAGTTAAAAAAGTAAAATACTGAAAAATTGTTTAAAAACGAAATTTTATTTTATTTTTTATAATATTACAAAATAATTATAATTATTATAAAATGTTTCAATTAGAAGAAAAAAAATGCCTTTCTCTGAGCAAAAACTTTTCTGCTTACTCTCTTCGCAAATTACACTTCTTATTTACTTAATTATTTTATTATTCCTGGAAAGCAAAGTCAAAGTATTTATATAAAAATACAGCATAATTTTCGTATAAATTTTTTTTCGATTTAAAAAAAGTCTTTGGTACTTCATTAATGAAAAATCTTGTTAGGCGCGGACCTTATTATCTGTACAGGACAAAAGTGAACTCGGCTATTTTCTTCCAGATCAGCTTTCGTATTTTTTTTTCTAAAGGAGTTTTAATAGGGGATGATAGGGTCGAAATGGGGGTCAGGAAAATTGCGAATGTCATTTTTCGATTAAAAATCCTCTCGAAGAACCTAAAGCTATGATATGAGAAGGAAGCAGACTTTGTTGAGGGGGAGGAGGATGAGGCGGTCAGGAACAAGGATCAGGGTGGCTAATGGGGCGGTGAAGAAGGGTGGGAGGGGGTAGGTAAAAACGACGGTCTGTGACCCTTTGGCAAGTAATAATTGCCCGCAATTACCATAGAATAAGGAGAGAGGAAAAAAAGAGAGAGAGAAAGAGAAAGAAAACTTGCTGCCACAACAGTTGCAGGAGTTTCAGTCTGCACCCCTGTGTAAGTAGACTAATTATGGGGTTGGGGTTTGTGTACCACGAGGGAACAGGGAATAGAATGCGACGGGTGAGGTCGCGGTAAATGAAAATTTAACATTCGGTCGATCATTGCACCTGCGTAGAAAAGAAGTACATGAAACCTTCGGGGAGAGTTGGAGAGCACCGCGAAAAATTCACCGCGCGGAACGGGTCCCTCCTTTTTTTTTTTATTTTCTCTCTTTCTCTTCTTATTTCACTTTAAAGCTTCGCTCGAGAATTCATAGAAGTGACAGGAGAAATTATACAGGTCTTATTATAATGAACAAGTGTATAAGAGTTTTCTGATTTTCCATTGAAAAATAGAAGAAAAAATAATTCTCTTTATTTGACATTGTATTTAATTGTTTAAAATTTCATGATTTACAGAAAGAAATAATTAATTTTTTACTTTTATTTAAATTAATTTAAGATTATGTTGAAAAATCTTTGGGGTTATGGGGAATCGAACCCGGGTTCGTTGCCCGCAAGTTGTGAACGCTAACTGACCTACTACTTAATAAATCGAAATTAGTAAAAATGTTAACCAATTTTAAACTGTGCTTTTTTCTTTTGAATAAATATTTCGGGTGTACTTCCGAAGTAGGGGTACCTCCGATTTTAATAAAACTTGGTATACTAACGTATTTTGGTGCGCTGATTACGAAAATGATAGTGAAAATTGGCGCAAATTTGATTATCATTGGTAAAAACCATAAAAAACACCATAAAATAATGGTTTTTTACGATTATCTCGTAAAAAACAAAAAATTTCGAAAAAAGTTTTAGACAAAAGTTGTAGATCTCAAAAAAACACACATTTTATGTTT